CTCCAAAGGGTTCTTTAGCCCCCCTCAGGCATGGCTCCAGGGTCTGGACCATCACCAGGCTCATGGAGGACCCAAAGCCTTCCACTACATGAAGGTCAGGATTCTACATGGAAAAACTTACAAAATATTTGACTTTAAAGTGAAGGACTGAGGGTATTTGAATGTTTTTGGTAGAGTGAACATTTTGCACATAAATCTGTGATTCTTTTTGTAACATTTTCATGTTTTTTTAAACCAACCCATGAATGTTGCTTTCATGATGATTCAGACATTTATGTGTTGAGTTGTTGGATTAGCCAAGTTTTTATACTTTAAATGTTCATAAAAGGAAAAACACTGAGATTCCAGACCAGCTGAAAAAAGAAACAAACWCTTTGCATCATTTTAACGACTGTTTGTCCTCAAAAGTGATCTTACATCTTCAGCATCACTGTCTATGGTGTCACATTTCTTCTTCTTCTCATCCTCCTTCTTTTTCTTGTCTTTCTCTGGAATAACATCATCCAGGAAGCTGAGGTCGTGCTGGGAGAACATGTAGTCCATCGCTTTCCTCACAGCAACCAGAGCGAGGATCTGAAAACACCAGAAACAGGAGAGACARTTTTTACATCCGTTTGTTACATTCAAGAAACTTAGAAATGTGGCGTTTTTGTTTTGTTGTTGTTTTCTTTACTTTAGTGGTGTAATTTAAATTTATGGCTGAACAAGTTAGAGTTCAGCTGAATGGAATGTCCCAAGTTCAAACGAAAGCAAAAAGAGCCGGAGCTGCATTAGTTTCTCAGAACTGAAATGAATAGTTTTAAGTCATTGCTAAAATGTAAATGTTGTTTTTTTACCATAACAGGGAAAATGATGGCAGCTACGGTGGACTTGAGGATCCAGAGCAGAGCCAGGCACAGGATCTGAATAAAGGTGAACAGGTGGACCTTCCTGAGCGGAACGTGTCGTAAGTAGATCAGGTCTGGCTGATGTTTGGCCGGCATCAGCAGCAGTTTGAGACGGTCCATAAACTGAACAGAGAAAATCAACTGAGCACAAAAAACTCAAACAAACAGCCGTCAGTCTCAAGAAACAGCAATATTTCTACAACTTTTTAACGTTCCTGCTTCTCTTTTAAATGGAACAAGTCTGAGGTAATAATGGAGCAAATATCAACTGCTGTCAATCAAAAACTTTGCTGTTAGTATTTTTGGTTTTAAAGAATGCTTTCAACACTACTCACCAAAACATTCTTATTGAAAAACTGAATAAATAYATTAGAAGATCAGCACTACTGTGGGTCACTAGTTATCTGAATAACAGGAAACACTTTGTTCAGGTAAATCTGAATGATGTCATATTGGTTGTGGAGTTCCTCAGGGTTCTGTGCTCGGACCCAAACTGTTTTATCTACGTGTGAATGATCTGGTCAAAGTGTCGGAGCTTTTAAAATGTTTTCTGTTTGCTGATGACACAACACTGTTTTATTCTGGTGAAATATTGAACAGATGTTGGAGGAGATACAGACAGAATTCAGGAAGGTACAGACAAAGGTTTCAGACTATTCAATTAGCACTGAATTTGGATAAAAACAAACTACTTGATATTTAGCAACAGAAAGACAATTATTTAAGTTCTATTTAAAATTGATGGTATTGACATTCACAGAGTCAGTGAAATAAAGTTTTTGGCTGTCATCACTGATGAGAAGCTGACAACCAAACSTGTTGCATAAAATAAAAAACTTATTCATTGATAAAACTCTGAATATATTTTAGAATGCAATGGTTGTTTTGCATTTAATTTATTGTATTGAAAATTTGGGAAAAGSGGGTAAAACAATAACAAATCCTATTTTGATTTGATAAAAAAGCTATGAGAATTGTTAGAAAGTGTTATGGTCACCCAACAAATATATTATTTCATCAGTTGAAAATATTACAGTTTAATGATTTGGTTGATTAAAGTATTTCACAAGTCATGTATAAAACCCATAAAAAGATGACTAAGTCAAATTTATTGAGAAAGTCTGTCATGTATTGGTTGGTACGATAGGATTTAAAGGATTTTTGTCTGATGTTGGTTTTGTTTTGACTCTTTCAACTTTGGAGATTGTTCAAGTCTAAGCTGTTGGTTGGTTGAGGACGGGGGCGGGGGGGGGTGCAGAGAGAGAAAGACAGTGGAAGATAGAGGGGAGGACAGGAGAAGGACAGGAGTTGTGTAAAAGACTACAGAGACATCAGTGATTGGACGCTGGCCGTCTTGTTGAAATTAATCTGACCTTCTAAAATCTGTAAAGGTGGTCATCAGTGCATGTTCCCACACAATGATGAAATTTGTGCTCGCTCCGCATTTCACCATCACATGTGAGAAACACCCAAGTGGAGCAGCGGGCAGCTTTGTAGGCGCCCGGGGAGCAATTGGGGGTCTTTCTCAAGGACACTATGACATGTGGGCATGGTGGGGAGTCAAACCTGTGACCTTTGGGTCCCAAGCCAGCTGTTCCACCACTGCACCACAGCCACCCCTGTAGCTGATGAATATTTGTTAAACTTTTAAAAACACCCTGATGGTGGAGAATTACAAAAGACTTTATCAAGTCCCACCCTCACTTTGCACTCTGATTTCATGCCTTGTTTACCTGAACTCCGTTGAGTGAAGCAACTCCCATGTACAAGAAGACTCCATACAGCACAGGCATGGGAATAAACTGAGCAAAAATACAACAAATKATCAAAGACAGATTTATGCATGGAGTAAACATATCAAATGTTTGYACTAACAAATGGTACAGTTCTTTAGAAAAAAGACAGCAAAGRTTTTCTGATTATATGGGCTACTGTAGTTAAAAAAAATGGGTTTTTAATTCATTTCATTAAAAAAATAAACTCCAGATTCACATTTGTACCAGCAGGTGGCCTCATTGAGCCTTTTAGTACCAAAATCTTTTACACTCTGACACTAAAACACTTCTATCTATCACACCATTTCAAAACAAACATACACAGTAAAACAGGACAATCCTCTTAATAACATTTAGTCATTAGTTTAAAATGCTGTGCAGACGTCCACACATCCAGCTGTGTGTCCTAAAGTCAAACTCTTCTTACTGTTCACACAGAGCTGCTGGAAAACCAAAGACAGGACCTGAGAAAATACGAGCCTTCAGAGTGGACAGTCACTTACAAGACTTACTAAATAAACAACAACTCAAATATTTTATGATTCTTTTTTCTGCAGCAGTGACTCTAAAGTACAAAACAAAACAGATGTTTTTAATTTCCTTTAACCATCACACCCTGTATATGTCTTCTGTCCAACACAGACACATGGACATGTCCAACACAGGGACACACAGAGRCAAACATTAACCCTATCATAGGGACATAGGGACAATTAGAGTTACCARTTAACCTGATACACATGTTAGTGGTCTGTGGGAAGAAACCAGCGTCCTCGGAACAAAGCCACTCGTGCTCGAAGAGGACAAGTCAACAGAAAATCGACTTTAGTTTCATACATGAAAAAAAAAATATTTCATGATTACCTTTAAAATTGGAGACATAAATACAGAAAGTCCGGTCAGGATGAAGACCAACACACCAGTGACCCTCTGCTCTCTACAAAACACAACAAAACAGAAAGACAGAAATCAGTGGAGCTGGACTCATTTGGTTCATAGTTTTAGGTTTGACATCTGTTGATTGGGTTCCAGGCAGACAGTTTGAGTGTGATGAAGCAAACAATGATGCTTGGAGGACGTTGTGATCCTGTGTGGACGTTTGTTCATTCAGCTCACAGCTGAACCAACAGCTCAGGACGTCACACAGAGAGGAAAACAACAACAATTCAACACAACATTAAAACTCTTGACAGCCAGTAATGAACATGAAAGTTCCAACTAGGTAGATCTAAGAAGAAAGATTGTGTTGAAAGTAATTAAAAAGGTTTATTGAGATTACACTCATTGGGATGTTCAGTTTGTGAAACAAGCCTGTGGTTTTCTACATTTGAAGATCTTTATTTTTAAGACTTCCCCACATTTTCTGCACACAGCTTTATTCWTGCAGGGAAAATTCACTGAGGTTTAAAATCAAATTTATGAAAGAGCCCTGGCCAGCCCTGGTTTCCTAAAACAAACACATCTATATAAAAAAGGAATGTGTCCCTAATGGCAGGTCACCCATAGGTGGCGCTGCAGCACAAGAATAAATTATCCCTCTGATGGGATTGCTTTATTTGGAGTCCTGTTGTCTGACCTCACACCCAGGAACTTGGGCTGCTCTCCTGGAGCAGACGTTTCYGTTTCCATCTTCAGACTGTCGATGTGAGCGATGGAGATCACGGTGGCTGCAACGTACCATGGCAGACCCATGAAGGAACACACCACCAGCAGAACGGCCACCCAGAACAGATCCAGATGGTAGCCAGCTCCTTTCTGGTTCAGACAACAAACAGGGTCAAAGGTCAATGTAAATCCCTGCYAACAGCTCAGAATGATGCAGCACCAGAGGAATTTTTTTWAATATTTATCACTAGGGGTGAAACCATACATGTACATGTGGTGTACTGTTCAATACAGGGCTTTAGGTTCAATACACACTGTGTATGGAACAACACACACTATGTATGGAACAATGCACTCTATGTATGGATCAATATGCACTAAGTACGGAACAACACACACTATGTATGGATAAATACACACTATGTACGGAACAACACACACTATGTATGGAACAACACTCAATATGTACGGAACAACACACACTATGTATGGATCAATACACACTATGTATGGATCAATACACACTATGTATGGATCAATACACACTA